CCCCAAAACCCCAAAACCCCAAAACCCCAAAACCCCGTGCTGCTAAAAATCAATTATTGGTATGATTTATATAATTTATTCTTATTAATTCTATATATTTCATGTAAAATTAAGTGGGAAAGGTGTGAGTTCTTTAATGAAATCTTATTCAAGCACTTTACCTACTCTATATCTATCATGCCTCTTGAACAAATAATGGATGTCGTCATTAGTAAAAGGCATTCCTCCGTTGTAATGATCTTTAAAGTATTCCAAATAATCTTCGACTATAGCATGACCTTTTTTATTTTTATCAACGCTTTTGAATATAATCTTTATCTATTCCTCTGTTAATTGATTTTAGAGTTAGTGCCTTTAATTCTCCAGTTCACTTTCTAGAGCAATAAAATCTTAAAAGAACTTAAGGAGTCTAAGATGAGTCTCCTCTGAAATCCCTTTCATCAGCAGTTCCTACTCCTCTGCTTCAATAAAATCTTATCTTGACTTGCGGTTTAAATACATCGCAAATTCAGCATTTCTTGGCATAAATAATATTAAGAAGTCCTTCTATCTTATCATCTGATCATTGGCAATCTCTGGTAACTATCTACTTAGAGATACTAAGATTTACTTGTATGAAAAACTCAGTTAAAAATGAGAGGATAATAAATCCTTGAAAAGCTAGAATGAGAGTGCGAAGTTATGACCTGTAAATAATTTATACAGTAGGCTGATATTGAAATCCTTCTATAAAACAAATTCTTACTTGTCTATTTCAATGATTCGATCAAAGTCTATGCACTCATGGAAAAATTTATACAGATGAGCTAGATTAGTCTAGCTTGCTTAATTAGCTTTTGTTTTGACTTATTTTTTATTAGGGGATTTTGATTCCTATTTCTTTTAATTTTTTGTAGCACTTTATTTTACGCTGAGAATAGAACCTGGTCTTACTGATGATGTTCTTTAGTTTTTATAAATCTCAACATCATTCATTTATCCAGTTTTAAACTTAGAATTTGAGTATTATGAGTCATAATTATTATTTAGGCACTAATTCGGAATATTAGGGGAATAAAACTATGATTCTGGTAAGGAAAAAATACTAGGTTATAAATTGACACTTTTATTCTCAGATTAGTAATTTGACTCATTTATTACCTCTTAAATCTTATAAGGTGTATTTTCTTCATAAGTATTTTTATATAATATTTAGCCAGCTTCGCTTTTATTTTGACTTGTTTCTATATTAATAAGTGAAGGAGTCTCGTGTCTAATATTTCCAGTTTATGGTCTGTGGCATCTATCCACTGATTTGGCCTAGAGTGACTCCTAGCTTTTAAGGAAACTTTTCTTTTGGAAAAAGTTAGGGTCTCTTATATTTTTCAAGCTTTCATTCAATCCTACTTCGAACTACAAAGATGGCCCAGTTTAGTTATGAGAGTCCTAAGTGTGTTTTTTAGAGCTTGTAAATGTATTGTTAAGCAATGTAACTCTCAAACATTATCTTGACATAGAATTAGATTGTTGCTCAATAGAATCAGGCATTTAATATTGTTTATTTGTTGTTCCAAACTTTAATGTAGCCTCAGTTTCCTACAAATCTTAGTTTACTTCAGAAATTTCTCTCTTAGGAATTTCGGGTTTCATATTTTCTTTTTCATTCTTAGACACCCCTCCTCGCTTGAATATCTTTCCGCCTAATTTTTTCCCTAATGACTTTGATGGAATTCTTTAGCTATTTTAAATGTTAATATCGTTTATAATGTTGCTGCTCTTATCATTTAGAGGATTGGCTGTTGGTTAAAGAAACTTTTTATCAGCATTTGATTTGGCTCTTTTTGCTTTCAAGCCTTTTTGGCAAAAGAGGAAATAAGGCAAGATTCCTGAGAAGAAATCTGAGAAGCAAAGTTCATCATCCTTATCTGTATCAAGCCTTCTTAATATTGCACATATGTCAAGATCTTGAACAACAAAATTTCCATGTATCTCTATCAGTTATTTCATTCTAATTATAATTAAACACTCTGAAATATTTATTTAAATAACTTACGATTTCCTCGTTAATCTACTGTGACCTCCTAAATCAATAGCAGTAAATAAGTCGCAAATCTGCAAATCACACTTGTTTTTCCTTTGATATCTCTTTATAGATTAGGAAATTAATCTTAAAATCTCGATTTCTTTCTCAAGTAACCTACCAATGGAGCAAATAGAATCATAAGATTTTTTCTGGGTTAATTTTTCATGTTTCTTTACTTTTCTTAAAATGCTTCTTGAAAATTTTTTCTTAGTCCTTGGTAAAATGAAAGATAAAAAGCTATAAAGTTAATATTATAAGGGTTCAACAATGAGACTTACTCTTCGTAGAGCAATTTTTTATTGTTTTAAGTATCAATGATTTTTATAAGGTATTTGACCTCACTGTCAGTAATGTCGCCTTCAAGGATTTCAGGTTAAAATTATTTCTTAAAGAAACAATACAGTGCTTTCTCCTCGATAACGACCTCATCTTTTGATTTTTAAGCAACTGTTCCTTCCTTATCTGCTTGAGTGAGTGTAGAACTTTTTAGAGTTTGCGATGATCTTGCGATTTCGTTAAAAATGTCATATGCTCTGAAATCTTGCAACTCAAATATAACTTTTCTAATTATTTCAGCCTAGAGATATTCATAATTTTGTAATGATTACCTGTCTCTCACCAGCTGCAATCAAACTTAGAATTTCAGCTCCAAGATGTCTGAGTTGCTGAAGCTAACTCTGGGATATATTTTTTGACATTAGGTTTGAATTAATAATTTAGTTAATTATGATAATTTGTAATTAAACGATCAAGTTTTAAGGGAATATGTCTTGATGATAATTAAACTGAAACTATAATTAAAATCTTAATTGTTAATTCACCTTATCTATAATTTACTCATAATTATTCCAACCTTTGCTACTTAGATCTTCAATTTTTAGTCCCAATTATTTATCACTAACAGCAATACGATTATGCTTTTGCAGTCTATTTATCCTCTACTGGTGTTGATGACAGTGATTTAACTTGCCTGTTTTACAATATCAGTTCATCAGGTATCTCTCCTGATTCTATTTTATAGATGATCGTATGAGTCATTTTATTAAACACCTCTTCGACATTCTCACCGGACAATGCGGATGTCTCTACAAACAAACATTCTATATTGAATAGATCAGTAATAAAAATTTATACCATTTTCTTAAGCGAATTTAGCAGCGTCAGTCATCTATACCACCCTGTCCTGCTCATTATCCTTTTTATTTCCAACCATTATAAATGTAGCCTCCTACCTTGAAAATTATCGGGCTTCATTTAGCCATTGCTGGACATGCTAATATGAGTCTAGACTATAAAATTGTTAGATTAACTGTAGAACCGAGGTATTGCTAATCTTTTATTAAGGAGAAAATGCAATAATGAATTGAGAATATTGTTTATACCTTGTAATATCATAGACAATAATGACTCCTAGAGATCCTCTAAAATATCCTCTAGTGATGGATTTATATCTTTCCTACCCAGCTGTATCCCAAATTTATATCTTAATGATCTGATCATTTATCTTAAGATACTTTATTCCAAATTCTACTCCAATCGTATGCTTTGAATTAGAATCAACTAAAAAACATTATTGAGCCAAAAGAGAATATAGTTATTATTTTCTAATTTTAATATTCTTAGAGATTTGGCAAGGTACATACATTTATTCCTAAGGTATTGATGAAGGATGCAAGATTTTCCAACTGAAGTGTCTCCGATAATGATATACTTGAAAAGTAAATCATATTTCTCTTTCATTTCAAACTCCATTCCAAAATTATTCAATTTTTTAATAAGTTAACTCAGAATAGACCTAATCATCTTAATCTCATTCTTGGGGTTTTGGGGTTTTGGGGAGATCGGAAGAGCACACGTCT